CCCCAAAACCCCAAAACCCCAAAACCCCAAAACCCCAAAACCCCGTTTTAAGGGGTTTAGGTGGAAATTTAATAAATGATATTTTATCGTCCAAGTGAGTATGTCCCTACTCATAGGAGGAAAAGGGATATGAAGCCGTTTAAGAGATATACACAAAAAGGAGGTGAGAATGGGACTCGTCAATTTTTGAGGAATAATATGTATATTGATGATATCGAAGGTGTGAGATCAAAGAGATTGTTTAGAGGTAAAAAGTTGAACCAGAATAAAAGTGATGTGATCAAACCAAATAATCTTAAATTAAAAAAAATATGCACAAATTTTGTTCCTACTCCAAGGAAAACCGGTCTCGAACAATTTCATAATCATTATCCAATAAGGTAGGTCCCTTTCTAATGTTGATCTAGCACAAATAATAACTTATCTCATATAAACATGCCAAGTATGCTAGATTGTTCAACTAGCAAATACTCTCAACTTATAAAGTAATCTTTCGTAACATTCTTAGTCGAAAAGTGCCAAGTAGACGTTCAAGGATATCCCAGGATAGTAGAATTCAAAACTACAACAATGTCAGCAGCATAATGAACTATAAAGGAAACAGCTTGGATTGAAGTGATATTGAAGGAGCAAGAGCTGGATCAGGTGCAGATGGAATCTTCAAATACAGAGCCTCTCCTCTTAACCCTCTCAATCCACAGTACACTTACCCTGGAGAAGCTGAAGTTAAACAACTAATCAACAGGAGACAAAGACTCTTAAAAGGTTCCCTCCTAAAAAGGTCCCAAATCTCGAATTTTCCTCTCTCCAGTACACTTCACCACCCTCTAAACCCCCTCAAGCAAGTCCCAATTCCCCAATCCCCCTGCCAATTTCCCCAACCGAAACCCTTGAACAAGTCCAACTCCGTACCTTTCCTTCACAACCACCCCTATTTCCAGCCAAGTAATTCTTAAAATTCCAAATTTCAAAAACTCAGTCAAATCTCCATTTTTTAATGTCAATCAATTTTATTAAAAATATGAGGGGTTTTGGGGTTTTGGGGTTTTGGGGTTTTGGGG